TTTTCTCCCCACCATCTACCTGTTCCTCTGTCAGTCTCTCCTCAATGGCCCCTTCTCATCTTTTTCTTCCTCCTCTGCTCATCTTATTTTTTCCTCCTCTGTCTGGTCTCGGTTCACTGATACACGTCTCACAGCCGTAAAAGGGCACGGCACAGGGAATAAGATGACAAGATGGAGAGAATTACAGCACCGCAGAAATTAAAGCACACACTAGACGTGAGCTGTTAGGCTCCACTCAGAGGTAGAAAGATGATTAATGATGCTGCATGGGTCGTGAGAGTTTAACTGAAATGTAAACTTCTTTAACCTCCTGACAAAAAAGGAGTGATCTGGGAAAAGGGCAGAGGACGAGGAGCTGTGTGCCTAATGTGTGTCTATGTGCAGTCAGCAATATGCTGGAGGCAGCATTTGGTATGAAAGGCTCTGGTTTATCTGTTATGATTCACCAGTCACTTATCAGAGCTCTGGCTTCTGCGATCGCTTTTAAATGGAGAGGAGGTAAATGAGGCAGGCATTTTTCGGCCACGATGTAAAATTGATGTCATTAAAGTAGGACACACACACACAAACACACACATCAGGGTGTGTTTGTTTTTGTTTGTGCTGAGTTCATACTTTTTCTCTAATGACTGTTCTGTCGGTGATTGGATTGATAAGTGTGTTAACATGCACTGTATCTCAGTTATAGAGGAGTTCCGGAGAATCCTGGTTATGAGTTTGAGCTTTAAAACTGAATAATTTATATTTCTTTCGCCTGGATAAGATAATATTATATATCAAACCTAAAGCTTTTGATTTATTTTGTTAGTTTTAGACAAAGCCAGGTTTTATGTTGAGCTAAACTAACTGCTAATCTCCTAGCTTCCTATGTGGCTTACAGACTGAGAACATAATTGATTATGTCATCTCACACGAAGAAAAGCAAAGATTTGTTCTCATGAAATGTTCATTGAATTCTTTAAAACTTCATTTTGTCAAGTCAGACCGAACTGGTACAGATGCAGACTGTACAGATAAGTACAGACAACACTTCTTGACTTCCTCCCGTTGTACAAAAATGAAGCCAATATATCATGGATACGGGTGCCGCCATCTTGCTTCTTTGGCATCATTTGGATCCAGAGTTTATGCAATTGTTATCATGGTGAGGAGCTGCAGTACAAGGTCGTGCCGATACACACACTGGACTGATCGTGAGTCATCTGTCAATCATGAAAAATGACAGAAGTCATTTTTGAAACAAGTATATTTGACAAGGACTTTGACTTTTCAGTTTAGTCCGTGTACCATCCACTAACATGGAGGAGACAGGGTTTATAACATGTTCTGCATACAGTCTATGATATGGAGTTTTTAGAAACCTGGAAAATGTCACATTCATATATAAATGGGGATTAATAACAAGCCATCGCTATATTGTGTGTATGTGAATGTTCAGTGACGGTGCATGTAATGGTGCATTTCTGCTGTTCATAGCAACAACGGAAGCTCCGGGCTAAACACAGAAAATGATTTATGATCTCGTAAGGTGGTCGGACCACGGCTCCGATACTCTGACGCCTCAAGAGCTGTTTTTTTCACTTTGTCTGTCGTTGTCCTCGTCACTGTGTCATTCATAAAATCTGAACAAACTCTCCTGTGATCTAATTATGGGACTCGGTTTGCCTCGTAAGACTGTGTTCTACCACCAGAGCCGGCACACGTTTTCACCATAGCAACAATCCACTCGAATCAGCTGTAAAAGAAAAAGGCTCTATGCTTCTGTGGTCATTAGCTAAATGTCAGGGATGCTCTGCTGCTTGTAGTTGAAGAGAGACAGACAGACGCAGCTCTTCATCTATACCAGATTCATGAGAGCAGTTCATCCATTATTCATGTTCTCATCTGAGGTTTCTACAGGTTTCAACAGGCATCGCTCTCTCTCACCCATCTGTGTCTAACAAACTGGATTGTCCAACGTGCTCAAGGCCACAGGGATCGCTTTGAAGATTTTTCCATGACCTCAACTTTGGTGTGCAAAAATGTGTGTGTGTGTGTGTGTGTGTGTGTGTGTGTGCAAAGAACAGAATCCTACAATCCCTCTCCTCTCACCACTTCTGGGTTAAAATTGCTGTTCTCTGATGCTTGCATGTGACCACCACCCCTCCCCTATGTCCATCTAGTTATGTTCTATCACTGCTGGGCTTCCGAGAGCTTGAGTCACGTGAATCCACCTTCATTTTAACCCACATACCAGGACCTTGGAACACGCAGACAGGCACCGGAGCTTGGAGGCCAACTCACGTGCCATCATACGCAGAGGGCCAACTCTCTGTCTCGCTCTTACAGGAAACCGAGGCTTAGAGAGGAGGAGGAGGGGAGTCTGGAAAAATAGGGTGGGGAAAAAGATTTCACAGGGTATGGGAATGGGCCCAAAGAAAAACAGAGCTCAGACTCCAGATGTGGAAGCACACTCTACACACACACAAATAAAGTCACACATGTACAAACAGTCACGGAAAAGGAGGAGCAAATGAGGGTTGTAAAACCTCTCTTGGAGCTCCGCTTGGCATCTTGTGATTGGTCGGTTTGTAGCTCCAGTGACCACCTAATTTTTTTTTGGCAAGCTCACCGGTGATCTGCACCAGCAAACAAATGAAAGATAAAGAAACACGAGTGTGAAAATATCAACAAGAGGAAATGGGCGTGATGAAATGGACTAAAAAAAGATAACATTAGACATTTACATGAGAGAAATGAAGATTTTTAGGACGAGAGTTTGGTTTTAATGTAAAAAAAAAAAGCTTGTTCAGATTTACAGCAGTCCTCAGACACACACAGAGAGAACACTGTTTTTTAATGTGCAGCGTTACCTTATTTAATCCACACTCAAGACACCAGCTTCACTGTTTCCATTACAGTCTGAGTGCACTACGGTCAGCTGACACTGTTGGAGTCTCGCTATGGTTGACATGGCCACTACCGGCAAACATAAATAGGTCTCCAGAGATCTCAGTAAACATACTGAGAAAGTGGACATACTGAAACATGAATTCTGCATTATAGAGATGGTTCAAAGCTTCAACTAGGAGAACTCATTCCTGCAAATGAGTTCCTCTAATTGTAAAACTGGATTTAATGCACAAGGTGATAGAAAACCTCACTGATCATTGTTGCAGAGCTTCATATTCTACCTCCTGCATTTAATTAAAGGTGGAATGTGCAAAATTGCAAGTGAGTCAGAATCATGAGTCCAAAGTTATGGACATTTTAACTCAACAGTTGGTAGATGTAGTGGAAATCCATGGTGTAGCACCACCTAGTGGCGAAATGCTATCGGTCTTTCAAGGTCTGCCCGAGAGGTGAATGCTCTCAAGAAGGAATCTATGTCAAACAGTTATTTGGATTTGGGGTCATGCAAAAATGTTGAAATATGTACCAGAGTTTGGGAGGAATAGATAAAATATATTTGAGGTGAAGGTCATTTCTTTGTGTATATAGTTATTTATACATATTTTCTGTGTTGATAGAATATCAATGG